CACCTTCTGATGTGAACCCGCTAGGGTTTGTGGCCCGATCTTTCGATGAGAGGTGGGGGATAACTTGATTGGATGAAGACGACGTTCACGGCCCGACTAAAACCGTCCAAAGACGTTGCGCCTTAGCAACCGATACACCGTCTCCAATGGTCACCGTGAACTTGTGGTGCGCGTCAATCCGGCCACGAGGGCACTCGTCCTGCAAGCAATCGAAGAACAAGCAAGAACAAGTAGAACAAGCACTGAATTGCTAGATGAGGATGAAAGTTTTCACAATCAAAAACACAATATGGTGGGGTTCTGATTACAAGCAGACGGGCGGTTTAGCCAACACGCGGGCTGTGAGCCGATAGCAAGTAACTAACTCTATCATCAAAACCCGAGTGTTCTTGGCGGCGACTAGAGGTATAAGAAGAGGGGAAGAACAACCACAGGGTCGTGCTCCAACCCTAGGACGCGCCCCTAATGGGCCCAACTTGATACACAGCCCATTGGGCCAAAGGAGGTGACGTAGCACCATGGACAGAAAGCAGTCGGGACTAAAACGACAATTGCGGCCGCTCCAGAACAGATATGGACATGTGGCTGGATCCATTTGAAAGTAGACTTGATAAGCTTTCCATGAAGTACTTGCTCGCCCAAATCGGAGTTCGTATGAAGTTGTGGCGACCGTCAGAAGTTGGTGCTGTCCTGCAGTCCGAATCCAACCCGCGGAAATCCTCTCCCCTTTGGATCCTCTCCATCGTTCCTGAGTAAAACAAGAGTGCACGCGTCTCCGGGGTATAAAGAAGTCGAAAATGAACTCAAGAAAGAACTCACCTGATTGTTGAGTTGACATGCACGAGCGCGAGTAATAGGACCATGAAGTTGTACCTGTGGGACGTGGATGTATCGATGGTGTTGATGTCCTCATCACCTTCCTCGAGCTCCACCACACAGTGCCCGCCCACGACGGCCGATGCACGCCCGCTGCACGCCCGTCGGGCCCATCTTTGGTAGCCGCGGAGCTCCGCCGTGCTTGCGCGATGCCGTGAGGTCGCTCACCTCGCCGCTGCCGGGGTCTCCATCCTCGACCTCGCCCACGCGGCGACGCCCTCCCCTTCTCCCGCGTCCTGCCGTCGCCGACGCCGACGCCCTCCCTTCTCCCCCGTCATCGCCCCCAGCCCCCGCTCCCGCCGCCGCCGCCAGCCACCGCCGCGGCGCCGCCCTCCTCCGGCCTCGCAGCCGGCGCCGCCGCTGAGAAGAGTGGGAAAGAGGAGGAACCGAGGAAGGGCGAGATGAGGGGAAAGAAAGAGGAGAGAGGGTGATGACTGATGATGTGGCCTCCTGACATGTGGAACCCACGTGGGTCCTACGCTGATTCAGCCGCCACGTCGGACAAACCAGGGGTCAAAACCACCCAAGGACCTAAAGTGAACGGTTTCATGAGTTAAGGGGTGTCATATATCCGGTTTTGCGGTTGGGGACGATTTTGTAACTCGATGACAAGTTGAGGGACCTCCGGTGTACTTTTTCCTAATTTGGTACTGCGTGCAGTAAGAACTTGTTTAGATCTAAACTTTTTCTTCAAATTTTCAACTTTTCCATCACATCAAAACTTTCCTACACACATAAACTTACAACTTTTCGATCACATCGTTCCAATTTCAACCAAAGTTCTAATTTTGGTGTGAACTAAACAAACCCAGTTCACTTTGACCACCTTCAAATATATAGCTGAGATCTGATTTATATCCCTCATCCGTAGTACTGGATATTTTAAACACCCAACTATCAAAACCGATGTAATTTGACTTCACCGGTTTTGACTTTTCGCTGAGTTGGCAGCACAGTTAGCAAGTAAAAAAAATAAAAAATAAAAACTAGTCGTGAGACTCACATGGAAGTGATTATCTTACCCGGCCCCTCCCTCTATCAGGGAAACTATTCTAATCTCTCGAGGGGATGTTCCCTCGTTTATCTAAACGGTTATGAAAAATACTGGAAAAATTTGACAACATTCATACAACACATATATACAACTCCACAAAATCTTAAGTCCAAACTCAACTCACACGTCAAGATATAAAAAAGACAAATTCAGCATATGAATAGTAGCATACTATTTATATCTAAATTTGTCTTTTTTGTTTCTCGATGTGTAGATCGAATTTGAACTTGAATTTTGGTGGACTAATAGGTATCATTATACTCTACATTGTCAATTTTTTTTCAGAATTTTTCACAACTATTTGCATCAAATTTGAAAGAAAAAGGTATACGAGGTGATATCCCCTCGAGGGATTAGAATCTGCTCCCCCCCTCTATCAGTCTATCTCTTCGTTCACCCCAATTCCTATGCCAACCGCGCAGGCAGCATGTTGGTGGCAGGCGGTGGCCGTGCTGGGGTCGGCGTCGGCGGGTGGCGGTGGTCATGCTCGTGCTCAAGGATGTGGAGGCAACATGCAAGCATGTTCGATCGGCGGCAGCTCAAGCTTGCCACCCATTGGCCCCACTCCTCCACGGCTTCCTCTTTTGTACGTCGGCGACGTCGGCATATGAAGTGGCGGTGGCGAGCCAAATTTGAGGAGCTAACTAACCTGAGTGTGGTGGATGGCCAAGTGTTTGCGCACACCGGAACGTGGACCAGCTGCTGCCGCGGCCGCCGCCGAGATCGAAAAGGCCAGGAGCAAACTAGGCTTGGGTGCCGCTGCCGCTAACTCCTCGTGGTCGCGCACTGCGAAGGTGGAATAGGAGGTGACGGTGAACTCTTCGGCGAGAAAGAAGGCGAAGATGGTCGGCGCCTACCACCGCTCCCTCCCTTGCCATTGCCAACGCTACAAAAGGAAAGACAAAGATTGGGGAAGAGAGCTAGGAAGAGATGAGAGGGATAGTGAGGATGACAAGTGGACCCATAATTTATTTTTTTTGCCATAGTCACTTACCTGTGAGGCCCGCTTTTATTTTGTGACTGGGTAACCACGTCAGCTTGGGGTGAACCAAGTAAGGTGCTTATAGCGAAACCACCCTCAAAACCATTGAGCGAGTCAAATTACACCGTTTGATAGTTGGGGGATAAGATATCTGGTATTGTAGATGAGGGATGCGAATCAGATTAGAGCTATATGTAAGGGAGTTAAAGTGGACTTATTAGGCCTTTCACAGTGCAAGCACCCACCACAAGATGATAGCTAGGATGAAGACCCTCTCTTCACAGTGCTAGCACTGAGTGGGACCCACAAATATCTGCTAGTGGGACCCACAAATCCCCAACTACTCCCCAAACCGGCAAATCCCCAAATTTCTCCTCTCCCAAGTCCTGTCCTCCCCCAAATCCCCTCCTCCCTTCGCCGGCGCCGGCTCCCCTCCTCCCTCCGCCAGCGCCGGCTCTCCTCTCCTCTTGGCCCGGCGGCGGCGGCGGCGTCCTCCGGGCTGTGCGGCGCGCCCTCAAATACGGCGGCGGCGGGAAGACGGCCGTGCGGCGGCGCCCTCGACCACCGATGTCGGACGAAGACGACGACGAGCTCGTCCGGGCCGGGCGGCGGCGTCCTCCGGGCCGTGCGGCGGCGCCCTCGAAGACAGCAGCGCGGCGCGGATCTGGAAGACGGCGGCGGCGGGAAGACGGTCATGCGGCGGCGCCCTCAACCACCGATGTCGGACGAAGACGACAACGGGAGCAGCGTCAGGGTCGTCGCGACGTGGAGCGGCAACGGGGCCCTAAGGTTTCCCCGACGGCGTGGCCGAGAGCTCCCCGGCGGCAGTCTCCGGCTCTCCCCGGCGGCGCAGCTACGAGCTCCCCGACGGCGTCGGGTTCCGAGCGATGGTGGTGGCGGCGACCGATCTGCTCGCGGCGGCATCCGTCGACGCATGAGCTGCGTCGTTCCTTTTTCGTCGTCGAGTGGGCCCTGCGCCAGGCTTTTTGGCCGAGCACCTCGTTCCTTTGTTGAGAAGCGAAGAACCCACCATAGCTATGGGTCCCACCTTGTTTTCCCTCCACGTAGACATAGCACCCCCTCCACGTAGGAGACTGTGAAGGGCCTTACACCAAATTATCACGTCACTCTGTCCGTGAACTAGCCCAACCGGCCTTGTGTTGATGGGCATCACGGCTCAGTTCTTGGGGATTAATCTAGGCCCATTTGATTTCTGGTTTATTCATTGGCCTGTTAAGCCTATCACGAATTTTATGAAAAACATATAAAAAATAAATTAGTTTTAGACTCGATAGTTTTGTCTTTCCACTATCATCTACACACTTGCACTTGTTCCTTACTTTATTAATATTTTTTTCAGGGGTTCGCTGTTTGTTATTTCACTCATGATATTTCTTTCCTGTCTGGTACTCATTTCGTTTTTTAATATATAAGAATGTTGACTTTTGAAAATATATTTAACCATTCGTTTTATTTAAAATATTATATAATCATTATTTATTTTATCATCACATGTTTTATCATTAAATGTTTTTTAAACATGACTTTAAATTTTTTATATTTGTATAAAAAATTTGAATAAAACGAATTATCAAACATTTATCAAAAGGTTAACGATTTATCGGTGGCATATATTAAAAAAAAAGAGGAAGTAGTAGTACTTAAAAGCTAAACCATATCCGTCCTCTCTTCCACGCCGCGTGAACCAAAATCTAGAAAAAAAAATAATCAAACGTTTTTCACCCAAAAAAACTTGTTGGATCAAATGCTTTATACTTGATCTAACACTTTCAACCTTTCCAATCGTACAATTGATCCAGCGTGTTGTAATGTACAGTATATTGCTATGAATAACGGGGAAAAATAATACTCCTTCCTTTCTTAAATGTTTCACGCCGTTAACTTTTTAAAACATGTTTGACCGTTCATCTTATTTAAAAACTTTCGTGAAATGTGTAAAACTATATGAAAAGTATATTTAACAATATGTATACATAAAAGTATATTTAACAATAAATCAAATGATAGGAAAAAAATTAATAATTACTTAAATTTTTTTGAATAAGACGAACGGTCAAACATTTTTAAAAAGCCAACAACATCAAAATAAATTTTGGGATGGAAGGAGTATATACCAAACCAGCATGTCTTTTTTTTTCCCAATCTTCAAACAAGCCACAACCAATTTTGGCCAAATGCCTATATTATGCATGGCGATATCCTAAAATTAGCAAAGACTCGCAGCGTAAAGACGCCATGCCCGCCTCCTCCCAAGAACCGAGCAGCTCGTCGACACCCAAACCCAAAAGAGAGGCGCGGCGCGGCGCGTCGTTGTCGTCGCGTCGATCGATCGCATCAACCCAACCCTACCAAATATAAATCGATCGATCCATCGCCGCCCTCTACACGTACGCGCCAATGGCGGCGTCGTCTTCGGTGCTCGTCGTCGTCGCCGCCTGCCTCGCGGCCGCCCTCGTCTGCCTCGCCGCCAACGTCGCGCCGGCGTCGTGCGCGCGCGCCACCGCCGCCCTGCCGCACGCCAGCATCGCGGAGACTTGCAGCTTCGTCGACGACCACAAGCTGTGCGAGGAGTCGCTGTCGTCGCTGCCGCTGACGGCGAGGGCGGCGGCGGACGCGCGCGTGCTGGCGCGCGCCGCGGTGCTGCTGGCGAGGCAGAACGCGACGGCGACGGCGGCGTACCTGTCCCACCTCCACGCCGCCGCCGCCGCGGCAGCCGACGACGGCGACGACGCGGATCACCGGTGCGTGGGCGACTGCACGGTCAGGTACGACAGGGCGGTGGCGTACCTCGGCGACGCGGCGGCGGCGCTGGACGCCGGCGAGTTCGACGAGGCGGAGCTGCTGGTCGGCGCCGGGCGGACGGAGGCGGAGCTGTGCCAGAAGGGGTGCGAGCACGCGCGGCTGCCGGCGCTGCTCGCCGCGCGCAACGGAGCCGTCGAGCGCCTCTGCAACGTCGCCATGGACATCACCAGGCTGCTTCATCAGCAGCACTGATCAGATGAGATGAGATGAGTTTACTATAGCCTGAAACGAGGATTGGTTGCTATCTGGAGTAGTTTTTTTTGTTTTAGCTGACCATATTAATTCTCAATTGGCAATGTAAGTCATGCGTCTTATTTATTAATTCAGGTGCAAAAGCCCCAAATATTCTATCAACCTCGGTCGAATTAATCAAAGATCATGATCCGAATTCTATCAACCTCGTTTGAATTAATCAAAGATCATGAATTCAGTCTCTGACTTTTAAATATTCTGGGCCGCAATTCACCCATGCCAGAGACCCCTTCGTCCTACTTCCTCTGTTCAAAAAAATAACTCCTCAAATTCAAACTTGTTTCAAAATAAATTAACTTATACCTTCTTACCAACCCATGGTCCACAAACGAGTAATTATATCCCTTCTATACCTCTTACTATCCACCACCAATTTTACATTTCTATTAGTGAGGGAAGAGAGAACAGAGGACGGAATTAATATTGAGGGTGGGTAGAAAAAAGCCAAGCACCAAGCCAAATTGTCCGTTTTTTAGGTGTTTGGTTTGGCCATCGATTTTTTAAGTACGTACGCATTTTTCAGTGTTTTTTTTATTGATCTGCTGGTTATCCATAGGTCACCCATTTAGGTTCGTTGGTCGAAATACTAGCAGTGCTACCATACGGCACGGTGTATACATCGTTACGGGTGTATACGGCATGGTGTATACGGTGTATAGTAGCACCCTTAATAACGACGATGAGGCAGAAAACAATGACACCACTACAAGCTGGTTTTCTTTGACTCATTTTCGCACACAAGCTGCTCGCGAGCCAACTAGTTATGTCTAACGTAACGAGCTGAAACAACATCTCAGCTCGTTAAAGAACACAATGAGCCAAGTCAAATCGAGCCACGAAACGAACGAACGAGCTACGAGCTTTTCATCGAACCCTATTCGCTAATACCAGTAGGTATTATCACCGTATTAACGCAGCCAAATTCCGTAGCCATCAACAACGTTGTCGCCTGTCCTACCATAAAATGTATTTTTGTCAAACTACTAGTCCCTGCATAGCATGATTGTACGTACGCTCGTTGGATGGTTCCCATCAAATCGGGAGCACTACAGGTTGGCGGGGCATCCTCATGCTTTGCAACTGCATTTCTGAGTGTGGTTGCCGCTGCTACAATAGTGTAACCACCACTGATTTTCTCTCCCTAATACTGTTCTACAAATAAAGGACAAATAAACTATACTCTTTCCGTTGTACTACCTCCATATTTTAATATACGACGCCGTTGATTTTTTGTCCAACGTTTGACCGTTCGTCTTATTAAAAAAATTTATGTAATTATTATTTAGAGTTAATTTCACTTTGGGCCATGTTTTATTGTCAAAGTTTCACTTTGGACCACCCTTTATCTAATTTTTTTACTTTGGACTAGGTAACTTTACCTTTGTTGCACAATGGACCATCCCAAAACATATTTTCATTTCTTCGATGACTTCGAGCAAATTGTTAACGGCATGCCAGCAAACTTTCATACCTATATGCATGACATATTTTTGTCGAAAGAGACGCTAAACATCACAAGCGAAAAGAGTTAGGGTAGTCCATTGTGCAACAAAGGTAAAGTTACCTAGTCCAAAGCGAAAAGATTATGTACAAGGTGGTCCAAAGTGAAACTTTGGTAATAAAACATGGCCCAAAGTGTAATTCACTCTATTATTTATTTTATTGTGACTTGATTCATTATCAAATGTTCTTTAAGCATGGCATAAACATTTTCATATTTTCACAAAAAATTAAATAAAATGAATGGTCAAACGTTACTCAAAAAGTCAACGTCGTCATACATTAAAATATAGAGGGAGTATAATATATTAACGTAGAATCAGATCAGACGTACCATATAAACATTAATAAAATATGTTTAAATTTATACTACTAGAATGAATTTCTTCTCGTTTCTGGGTTACTATATGATGGGACGGAAAATTAGTTTTTATTTCCATCGTCCATAAAAATGCATCCTGCGTGAGTGCAACGCAACCACTAGCTGCTCTCGCAAATTAAGCCATGGACATCTCGCTTGCTTCACTTGTCCTCGTCCTCCTCGCCTTCGTCCTGCCACTCCTCTACCTCCTCCTCCAACTTCCCGGCAAGAAGTCCGGTGGCGGCGGCGGCGATGGGCCGAGGTTGCCGCCGTCGCCGGCCGGGTGCCTCCCGCTGCTCGGCCACCTCCACCAGCTGGGCCCCCTGCCGCACGTGGCGCTCCGGTCCATGGCCGCGGCGCACGGGCCCGTCCTGCGGCTCCGGCTCGGCCGCGTGCCGACGGTGGTCGTGTCGTCGGCCGCCGCCGCCGAGGAGGTGCTGCGCGCGCGCGACGCGGCGTTCTCGAGCCGCCCTAGGAGCGCCATGGCGGAGCGCATCCTGTACGGCCGGGACATCGCGTTCGCGCCCTACGGCGAGTACTGGCGCCAGGCGCGACGCGTGTGCGTCGTCCACCTCCTCAGCGCGCAGCGCGTCTCCTCCTTCCGCCGCGTCCGGGAGGAGGAGGCCGCCGCGCTGGCCGACGCCGTCCGCGCCGCCGGACGGGGAGGAGGGCGCGCCTTCGACCTGAGCGGGCTCATCGTCGCCTACGCCAGCGCCGTCGTCTCCCGCGCCGCGTTCGGCGACGAGAGCGCGCGCGGCATGTACGGCGGCGCCGACGGCGGGCGCGCGGTGAGGAAGGCGTTCTCCGACTTCTCGCATCTGTTCGGGACGAAGCCTGTGAGTGACTACCTGCCATGGCTCGGGTGGGTGGACACCTTGAGGGGGCGGGAACGGAAGGCGCGGCGCACGTTCGAGGCGCTCGACGGCGTCCTCGACAAGGTGATCGATGACCACCGCCGCCGCCGTGATAGCGGCCGGCGGCAAACGGGCGACGCCGACGCCGGTCACCGGGATTTCGTGGACGTGTTACTCGACGTGAACGAGATGGACAACGAAGCTGGCATTCATCTCGACGCGATCGAAATCAAAGCCATCATCATGGTAACAGCCAACGTCTTCTCCCTTTGACATGGATGCAGCTCGCTGCTCACCTCGTTGATGGATGCATACGCCAGGACATGTTCGTGGCGGGGTCGGACGCGACGAGCAAGCCGATGGAGTGGGCCATGGCGGAGCTCGTCTCGCACCCGCGCCACATGCGCAGGCTGCAGGACGAGATTCGGGCGGTGGTCGGCGGCGGGCGCGTCACGGAGGACCACGTCGACAAGCTGCCGTACCTGAGGGCCGCGCTGAAGGAGGCGCTCCGGCTGCACGCGCCGCTGCCGCTGCTCGTGGCGCGGGAGACGGTGGCGGACACCGAGATCATGGGGTACCACGTCGCCGCGCGCACGCGGGTGGTGATCAACGGGTGGGCCATCGGCCGCGACACGGCGGTGTGGGGGGAGACCGCCGAGGAGTTCATGCCGGAGAGGTTCTTGGCCGGCGGCAATGGAGGCGGCGCCGCCGCGGCGGACTACAAGGTGCAGGGCTTCGAGATGCTGCCGTTCGGTGGTGGGAGGAGGGGGTGCCCGGGTGTCACGTTCGGCATGGCCACCGTGGAGATGGCCGTGGCGAGCTTGCTGTACCATTTCGACTGGGAGGCGGCGGCGGCCGACGGGAAGGGTGGGCGGGAGGGGACGCCATTGCTGGACATGAGCGAGACCAGTGGGATCTCCATGGGGCTCAAGCATGGCCTGCCTCTTGTCGCTAAACCACGCTTTCCTTAACCCTTCTTGTTCTTAGAAATAAAGCTTTCCTTCACCCTCTCTCGTTGTAATTTTGTTTCTTTTTTTCTTAAAACCGCAGCAGAACTGCGTTTCATTTCATTAAGGTAAAGAAAAGAAAAATATTTACAAAGTAGAAGCATCCAAACCCTTCCACCAAGACCCAAACACTTAAGACCACACCAGAGAGTCCTAACTACCTAGGTCGTTAGCCGTCCCACTAAAAAACTTTTGAAGTGGCAAAGCACCTGCAGAACACCAAAGATTACTCTTGTTATTTACCACTTGAAAAACCAACGTAACTCTAGAACTGACGTCATTGAAAACATAGTCGTTGTGATGCTTCCAAATCTCCCAAGTCACTAAAGTCACCAAGGAATTAATCCGTTTTTGCACTTCCTTCAGCCGGTTTTTAGTAGCTTGGCTCTACCATCTAAAAAAAGCTCTGTCGAAGGTTGAGGCGCCGCATCAAATAACCCCAATCCCGGGAAGAGTTAAACGACAATGCTCTTATTCCTCCACCTCTTCTCCTTCATTGTAATTATAAAAGATTTCTAATTAATATTTTACCTTCCTATAACTCAAAAAAACTAGTTTTTCATTATTTTTTTCCTTTTCAAAAATGGATAGGAAGTGAATTATAGCAGGGGAATGGATTCTAATCCCTCAAGAAGATGTCCTCTTATTTATATTTATCAATTGAATTTAATATAAATGGTTATGGAAATATCTACTTACTCCATTCTAAAATGTAACAACTAGTAACGATGTGTGTCATATCTAGTACATGCAGGTAATAGAAAGTTTGATAATATACTCTCTCTGTCCCATAATATAAGGGATTTTAGAGGGATGTGACAGATTCGTAGTACTATAAAGTATCACATCCCTCTAAAATCTCTTATATTATGGGACGGAGGGAGTAGAGTACGGTGTCATCTTATCTTAAAAAATCAATTCAAACTCGATATACTCCTCCGTCCCAGAAAAAGGCAAACCGTGGGTTTCCGTGCCAACGTTTGACTGTCCGTCTTATATGAAATTTTTTTATAATTAGTATTTTCATTGTTGTTAGATGATAAAACATGATTAATACTTTATGCGTGACTTATCTTTTTAATTTTGTTCATAACTTTTTCAAATAAGACGGATGGTCAAATGTTGGACACGAAAACCAGGGTTTGTCTTTTTTTTGGATGGAGGGAGTACGCACTAAGAATTGTTATCAAAGAAATTGGACAAATCTTCATCTTTCTATCAATAATTGTTTGTCAGCTTCCTATCAATAATTGACCGCATATCAGCATGTCTTATGCACCGCTCGAAATCTTCGTCCGCTCGATCACATCGTGTCCACCATTCCACCAACAAGTACTGATTTCACATCGATCGCATTCTCTCTCTCTCTCCCACAATGAAACAAATCCTATCATCCTAACTAAAGAAGATGATAAATAACCGAAATACCAATTAGTATTTGTGGGTAGGTGGGTAAGAGATATTGAAGGAATAAAAATTTATCAATTTACGAACCGAGAGTAAATAAGAAGATATAAGCTGATTTATTTTGAAACAAAGTTAGAATCCAAGAAGTTGATTTATTTTGAGACGGAGGGAGAAGCTCTATTGACCTTTTGCCAATTCTACCGCCACTAATCAGTAAAGGCATCACGAGTTTCCAAATTATCAATCCTTGTTTTGTATCACTCTCAGTTTTGAAGGTAAGTCGTCTCCACTGCACTAAAATTTTATTTTTACCATTGCACGTCTGTAATCTTTTGCATAGAATTGCAGGATGCTGCCAATTTTCCTTCGCTAGGATTTTTTTTAGATAATGGATATTTTATACCCGGCTTCATCTATAAAAGATAGACTCATGCCAATTATAACAAACGTTCTTACAGAGTAACACTTGGAAACAAAACCGAGATAAAAGTTCAAACGACTAAAGACCGATGTGTCTAGCTGATAACCATCCATTGGAACTAAAAAATTGCAAAGCTGATGACTCAAGATGTTGCGATGCCGCGATCAACTGTGAACGCAGATCCTCATGCCGTTGCAGCTTCGCCCATTGGCGTAACCAATGCGTACCCCTGAATAGTACCTGCAAAAAAGATTTAGGTTCGTAATTGTCAAACACTAACTCGTTTCTTGTTAACCAAACTGTCCAGAAAAGCGCTGCTGCTGCAGTTAACAGTAAAGTATTTTGTTTTTTATTACCCCCCTTAGACCACTGTTGGAATAACTCAACTAAGTTTGATGGGGTATTTATACCAAACAAAATATGAACCGCTCGCCACAAGAACTTGGCAATATAGCAATCAAAAAACAGGTGTTGAATTGACTCAGGCTGATGACAGAAAGCGCATTTTAAATCACCATGCCAATTCCTCCTAGCTAAAATATCTTTAGTAAGAATGACACCTTTCTTTAAGTACCAAAAAAAATTTTTATTTTTGAAGGGACCTTAATTTGCCAAATATCCTGTGAAACTCTAATACCATTACTGATTAGTGCAGCATACATCGATTTGACAGTAAAATTTCCTGAGGCCTGCAAAGACCACACAAACGAGTCACCCCCATCCTGTAATAATACTTCCTGTATGGAAGCAAGCACTCTATTCCATCTACTAAGATTCGCTCCCACCAAATTCCGCCTAAACGAAATATTCAGAGGGGACGAACTAAGTACTTTGGCCACAGAGTCATTTTTCCTTCTAACAATATTAAACAATGATGGAAATCTGTCCTTTAAAGGTTTATTACCCAGCCCCTTACATGCGAGCTTACTGAAACTATTCTCGAATTAAGCCTTTTGCTACTAGAGAAACCTACTTGAATGTTTTTTTTTCTCTCTTTGGAACTTGATCCCACTGCAATGAATATCTGGGATGAAAATTCATATTGTGATTCTAACAAAACATCCATTTCACTTTCTTTTTCGCAGATGAAGTAAAACTAATTATATTGGATATCCAATTATCCGAAGATCTCAGTTCAGTTTGAGCAGCCAAAACCAAGATCTTAACTCATTTCTACTAGATGTTCTTTCCATTTAGTTTATACAATTGATAAATAGTAGTAAGCGGTGGCCAAGTGCATTTCCCGATGTGCCACTTAGATGGTGTTTGGATCTAGAGACTAAATTTTAGTCCCCGTCACATCGAATATTTGGAATGACAAAATCTATTTCATAACATTGGACTAATTCACGATTTGAATCTATTGAGCCTAATTAATTAATTCATGATTAGCCTATGTGATGCTACAGTAAACATGTGCTAATTATGGATTAATTAGGCTTAAAAAATTTGTCTCGCGAATTAGCTCTCATTTATGCAATTAGTTTTATTATTAGTCTATGTTTAATACTTCTAATTAGTGTCCAAACATCCTATGTGACAGGGACTAAAATTTAATCCCTGGATCCAAACACCACCTTATGCATATGGAGTCAGGCTTTCATGTGCTGTGATTTCATATACTTTGGAAATCGTACTGGTTAGAAGTCTTCCATCCGTGTCACTCCAGCCCTAGGGGCGACGCCCACCCCCTCACTCTACTCCCCTGCCTCGCAGCCGCCGGCAAGCCGGCAAGCTGCCAGGCCGGCGGCGGCGGGATGCCTTTCCTCTCCTCCCTCATCAACGGGGCCGTGGCTAGGGCACCAAGGCAGCGGGGGGAGCGCCGCGCCGCCCGGATTAGGGTCTCCTTGACCGGATCCGGCGGTGTCTGCGATGGCTGGGACAGCGAGGGGAGCTTGGTGGAGGGGGTGGTTGCCGACGGTGGGGACGACGAGGGGAGCCCGGTGACGGGCGTGGTTGCCGACGATGGCTGTTAGGCGGCACGATGGATGGCCGGATCTGGCACCCCGGTGTCCAGATCCAGCGTGCTCTCGACGGATTCGCTGAGGCTGGCATCGACGGCGAGGGGTGGCTGCAGCGGCGGCGACGGGGTGGCTGCAGTGGTGGCGACGGGGCGGTGGAAGCAAGGTGGAGGGTGTGTTTAGTTCACGTCAAAATTGAAAGTTTGGTTGAAATTGGAACGATGCGACGGAAAAGTAAAAAGTTTGTGTGTGTAGAAAAGTTTTGATGTGATGGACCCGTCGCTACGCACGGGGTTTCACCTAATCCAAGGTAATAAATAGCGTATAGCGGGTTGGTAGCAGATTAGTGTCTGGATAGCAGATTGCGGATAGCGGGTGCTATTGTGGACGCTAAGTTCCAATAGTGGAATTAAGAAAAATAACCATAAATTTAGATTGTATACTAATATTAACATCAAGTTTCACTTAAAATTTAAAATTAGACTACATGTTTAATTACTTCTACATTTCATAACATAAAGAAAATATGAAATAACATATAATAAATATATAAGATAAAGAAGATAAACAATGCTAAATTATTCTATCCATACGTGAAGTGCACCGTTTAAACATTATAGCGATCTAACAAAATCAATAACGGGCTATTATAGCGGTCGCGAAGAGCTATAGCAGGCTGCTATAGCGGTTGTGGAGAGCTATAGCGGCCACTAAGTTCCAATACGCTATATGCAGTCCGCTACCTTATAGCAGCAGCGGTAGAGATACGCTACCGTTATAGCGGTCGCTGTTGCGGGTATCTTCACCTAATCTCATGGACAAATTAAAATTGCCTCTTTCATGCTCCACTAAACCATGCTGTCGGCTTGCCGCCGCAACTGGAGATGGCGGCGGTGCGTCGCTGCTACCAAGCAGCGACGAAGCTCCGTATTATTCTAACCCTCCAATGTCTTACCTCTTCTCTCTTTCGATGCCAAGAATGCAGTTCTTAACTTCTCATCTGCTATATATGGCGCTAGCTTCCGTTGCTGCGCTCAAGTTTTTGCTACGGGCCTGCCTCATCCAGCCATCCTTGTCTCAACTACTCGTCAAGTTGCTCCACATGCAAGAAGATACAAGACTTCCGATGGACACTAGCTAGCACCATCGGCCGTGCCGCGACGGAACATTTATATTTTTACAGAAACATTGCATGAAAAGCCCCCAATTTCTTAAGAAAAAGAACACCTCTTCCAAACAAAAAAATCTTAACCGTTGAATCTCAATGGAAAACCACGATAGGCTCACAATACGACATACTATTGAAAGAAGTTTGCAATATGACACTCGCAATTTTGTACGTGTATCATTCTTCCTCATTTTTCTTCTTTAAAAAAAACTGTTCACACACTTTTTTTTTTTGAGAGGGATAATTGTTCAGTCTTAGGCGAGCACAGATTTATCATGGGATCGGGCCAGGCTTAGTGCATTGGGCTCATGGACTCGGATGAAATTCACTAGACTGGGCTGTCTCATCCCCGGCCCGCTAGCCCTTTTGAACGGGTCTTTCTATATTGCATATCCTCCTAAAATATCTCGCGGTTGATTTTTTTTTCTTTCTTTTGTTAAACCCCTGCGGAAAGAAAAAAAAAATGGAAACCCCGAAAAACGCAGGGACCAACCGTTGCGGATCATCCTCCCCTGCCGCGCGTGGGTGTTGTCTTCTTCCCCTCCACTCCACAACCCGCGCCCCTCGCCTCCGCCGCCTCGCCGGAATCGAAGCCGCCTCCTCCCCTCTCCCGCTCTCACCGGACGGCACCGATCCGTTCCCTGCTCCTGTCTCCACCGTTCTACTCGCCTCGAAAGGTACTTTTGATATCCACCACACCCCCCTCCCTCCCACGCCGCGCGCCCTGTGGTGTTGAGATGTATGTGGTGGAGCGGATGAGATCGATCCTGGTTTCTTTTTTGTTGCGAGCTGATCCGTCGACTGCAGCGGATGCCGGGTTATTCTCGCGGAGACGGAAATGGTTGCTGAGATGTTGGTTTTTTTTACGGTTGCAGGGAGGGGGGAGGATGTGGTCGTCGAGCCAGGCGAGCACGAGGGGCGTGATTGAGGTGGGGAGGGTGGAGGCGGGGCCTTCCCATTTCCCCAAGAGGCCCGCGCCGCGGAATTCCTCCAGGTTATTTTTTTGTTCCCCCGTCGCTGGAGGATTAATTTTGGGCTTGTTTATAGTACCGCTAGCTCAGATTTATTTTTAGATAATGGATTTTTCATTAATCCAGCCTCTATATTCACGAAGGATACACACAGCCAAACCACTAGCTCAGATGAGGTCCATCTAGCTCTTCTTCCTCTTCTACTCAGATGAGGGATGGTTGATGATTTATGACTAATGCTTTAAACTAAATCGTATTTCTTCAGCTCACAAAGCTATAGGCTTGTGAGTTGTACGATGTTAAACCATGAAACGCTACTAGACTGCCTTGATTTTGATGTTGAATTGGCACGCTTGTACCGCGGTGACACGACGGCGCACGTGCCACCTGAAACGCTACTAGATTGCCTTGATTTGTTTCTTCCTACGACTTCGGCCCTCCATTCGTCTTGTGCATGTAATTGCTTGTTTTCCAATTATTGTGTATAAGGTGTTGGTACTTATATAGACTAATGGAATTCATTTGTGTCCATGGGTACATGGGTGCGTGTTTCACCTCATGCCGGGTTAAGTGTTTGTTTCGTTAGTTTCTTAACACTTACCCCTGAAACAAAGTTGCTGTCTTGCTGGTAGCCCTTAATCCAGCTATACAAACAAAAACTCTCACGTACTTGTGGGTCTACAGTAACCAGTTGCAACTTAAGCTCTGCATTAATGGTAGTGGAACTGAGGGCTAGTGCTGGTTATTTTTTTATGTTCTACATAAGATGGTCAGTTGTTCATGTTTGCACTATTACAAGGGCTATGCATACCTGCATCTATTTGCACGCGGTGTTACTCACTAGTCTCCTGCGCTATTGATAGAATGGTGCTAGTCTCCTACAGTATTCATAGATCGTATGGGTCCTACATGTCTTAATTTTTTTCTTACAAGAAAGCATTTATTGGATGATCTACAACTCTGTATATACAATTTCTCCTTGATCTGTCACCTCGTGTGCTACTTTTTGTTACTTACGAGTGCCATAATTAGTGTCATTCTTACACAGTTACTTTCCCTTTTTCCCTCAGGGTCAATCTGTCAAGGACATATGCAATTAAATCTTGTTCAGTGAGTAGCCGTACAGGGCTTTGCCTTGGACAATGTTATCATAAGAAGTCTTCTGCTTGCAAATGCAAGTTGGGATGGTCTTCTCAACCACTGTCTAGCTTGAGGCATCACTTAAGAGTACATTCATCAGCATCGGAGGCGGTTCTTACTTCCCAATCTGATTTCACAAAACTTCTTGTTGGGAATGAAAAAATTGGTGTTCTCTTGCTGAATCTTGGAGGTCCAGAGACCCTTGATGATGTGCAGCCTTTCTTGTTTAATCTATTTGCTGATCCGGTAATTGCCACTCTGAACTGCAATTGTAGTGCTCTAAGGTTTTTCAATTGCTCTATTTTTTATTATTTATTTTGCAGATTTACAAATTATGGTGCCAAAACAATTAATGGTGAGAAATTTGTTATTCCCTTCTTGAAATGTGCAATAGGGTACTCTTCCGATCTGCTGATTTTATTTGAATTTGAAGGTCTCAGTTGTGAAAGTAAAATCTTCTTAGGAGCTTGCGTAGGTTTCTAACAGCATGCTATAGAGAAGTGGAACGCTTTGATGTTCAGATGTATTACTTGATTGTAGATTAAGACAATAATATGGCAACCTGTTTTTCTTATTTACTGGATATCTCATGATGCATGGTGGCAGGACATTATCCGTCTTCCTAGATTGTTTCGCTTTCTTCAGAAGCCATTAGCACAATTTATATCTGTTGTAAGAGCACCAAAGAGCAAGGAAGGCTATGCATCCATCGGTGGTGGTTCTCCTCTTCGTCAAATTACTGATGCACAGGTATGATGTGATATTTTATTGTGTGAATGGCCATGGCTGCTGTACATTGAATATCTTAGTAATGTGGATACTTGCGATCATAACATTAACTAAAGACTATCAAGTGCTCACGAGAAGACAACCTTGGTTGACCCAAACAGTCCATGTCTTGTTAGATGATTCTAAAGTTCTTTGTGATTTTTTTAGATAATTGGAGTAAATATGGTACAAATGTTCCCCATATTTTATGATAGGGATTGTTTGCTTCATCTCACCCTGTTGTTTCGTGGGTATGCATCACTATTTTATTTATTTGGAAATTGTGAATTTTCCAATCTAGTTGTTGATGCTTTAGAATTTTCCACTTCTAATTTTGGCATCTATGGTTGCCACTTTTCATCAAAATATTCAAGTTTTCTGTTCTTGAAGTACTTTACTATCTTTATTTTTTTCTGAACTGGGTGAGTAATGCCCATTTTGACCAAAATTTACATAGGGTTTTCCTCTGTTTGATGTGCTCACTGGCTGATTCAATCCATGAAGCATCACAAGTATGAATTCACAAACATGCTCATTAGTCAACTGACATCTCTCCTTATACACAACATTAACATCATCTGTAGAAATGGCAGCAATAGGCTATTGCAATGGCCCTTTGTGCTCCTTTCCTTTCCTCCACTGCATTACCTGCAATCCCACTGCCTATTACGAACTCTAATGGCCAGCAATTGGCATGGTTCCCTCCAAGAGCACTGTTGACATCTGCTTCCCCTCTGCACCGGCACATGTGAACAACAAGCACCTGGCATGTGCTTGAATACTTGATGCCTCTAGGGATTGTTGTCAATGTTGCGATGAGCCTATAAATTTATGTAGGCAGTTTTGGTGGTAGAATGGACTTGATAGGAAGAGAGGAAGAAGGGGTGGTGAACGGAACCTTTCACAGGCGAAATTTGGAAAAATAAATATAAAAGCCAGAATACTCAAATAGTTGCAGCAAAATCCATTGATTTCAGTGTGCAGAGTGACAGATTAGTGAAACCAGAGTGAAGTGGAAATGTTTCCCTTTCCCGTTCATTCTTCTTATTATGTTAGAATCTTATGCATATTATGTGCTTTCACTTCGTGTTTTTATGGTAACTTATTTATAGGCTGAAGCACTGAGGAAAGCATTATGTGATAAAGATATTCCTGCCAAGGTGTATGTTGGAATGCGTTACTGGCATCCATTCACTGAGGAAGCTATAGAACAAGTATGCTTGCCGTACCTTGAACACATTTGTTTTCTTCTGTTATTTTCTCCTTTTAGCTGATTTTTGGTGTTTGACTATTTCAGCTACTGCATGCATACCTATAACAAATTCCTGTTCATGTAACATAAAGCAGCAATTCCAGTTCCCTTATCTGAAGATCAACCAGATCTTTTGCGAATAGAACTTTATCCTCTTAGGATTTGAAATGGAACATGAATCTTTGTGTGATTTTGAATCTTCTAAGATACAAAAAGAAAGCTATGGCAATTAGCAACCGTCACATCCATGAACCTCCATGCATTATCAATGCTATTATAGATAAAATGAATGAGCTACCTTCTGGCACTGAATGTTCAACTTATTTCTATGCAAAACATATTTATTTAATCTAATTGTATTCTAGATAAAACGGGATGGCATCACAAAACTTGTTGTACTTCCTCTGTACCCCCAGTTCTCCATATCAACTAGTGGTTCAAGTCTCCGTTTACTGGAGGGCATATTCAGGTACCTAGAATAATTTGAATAATAACTATAGCTATTGCTGTTACATTGCATAACTAATGCCATCTTTAATTTCTGCTTTAGAGAGGATGAGTATCTGGTGAATATGCAGCATACAGTTATACCTTCCTGGTATCAGAGGGAGGGATATATCAAGGCTATGGCAACTTTGATTGAGAAGGAACTGCGAACATTTTCAGAACCCCAAAAGGTAATATCCCTGGTGCATGCGCATGATTTGCTGACTTGATTTGAAGAAAAGGGTAATAAAAGGTTGTTAAACTTTGAGTACATTTTTGTAAAGCTGACCTAATAATATAAATATATCTAATGAGACATCCAATTTGCAGGTTATGATATTTTTCAGTGCCCATGGAGTTCCTCTGGCATATGTAGAAGAAGCTGGTGATCCATACAAAGCAGAGATGGAAGAGTGTGTGGATCTTATCATGGAGGAACTCGAAAAAAGAGGAATAACAAACTCATGCACACTTGCCTATCAGGTTGATACAACACCTGCTGCCTCCCTCCCTCCCATCTGACCTACAACTTCTTGATTACAGAAACTATTCTTGGTCAGAATCTGGTGGTTTTATCCACCACTTATATTTCAATATCTATTTCATTTCAACCATTCTCATAGAAGGATTCAAATTTGAAGTAGAAAACTGCTTTCTTCACCAAAAAAATAGAAAGGGGTGGTATTTAAATCCGAGATATGAATCCCTGATTACAAATTTATCATCACACCTGTGGTTGCTTTTCTTCTAAAGTAGTCAAAATTGTTTTAATTGCTCAACAGAGCCGAGTGGGGCCAGTTGAATGGCTGAGGCCCTACACTGATGAGACAATTATCGAGTTGGGGCAGAAAGGGGTGAAGAGCCTTCTAGCTGTTCCCATCAGGTATTACTTTGATAAACTTGATTTCTGCTGTCTTGATTAAAACAATATTCTGATGTGTTAATGCCTCTAAGTCCTAGTGACATCCATTTTGTTCAGCATCTTGCTTTGACTGTTCTCTTGTCAATATCATTTTAGCTGGATAGTTCTCATTTGTTTCCATGGTCTTCTTCCTCCAGTTTTGTCAGTGAACATATTGAAACTTTGGAAGAAATCGATGTAGAATACAAGGAGTTGGCTTTAGAATCCGGCATCAAGCACTGGGGACGAGTTCCTGCATTAGGTTGTGAACCCACGTTCATAACAGATCTTGCCGATGCTGTTATTGAAAGCTTGCCTTATGTTGGTGCTATGGCAGTTTCAAACCTTGAAGCTCGACAGGTAACAACTACTACAGTAGAAGAAAAAATACCTTATACACATGATAGATCGTCATATAATAACTTTTAGATGCTTCATGTGTATGTATTTCATACCTTATATGGTGATAGCATTTCGTACAACGAATGTTAGTTTGGGTTAGGATACCTCAAGAGGTTATTGAAATTCAATTGAATTTCCTATCCTGTTCTGTCACTGAATGAGTTTGTGTACCTGTGCAAATTGGAGCTCGTTTCTAAAGATGTAAATAGCTTCATGTATCAACACAAGGCTACAAACTTAGATCCCTAGTATTATAATCTGATTTGTTAAACAAAGTTGACCACAGTCATTTAAGGCTTTACTTCTTGGTGCACGTAGCACTGATTTATCAAACATAACCGGAACACTTGTTGTAGCATCCAGATGATTATAGTGCAGCATGCAAATGTTCGATCAAGAAGCAGAATTAGGCAACTTGCCGTTAAGAATTTACACTGATGTGTGGCGCATTGCCTTTTTGCAGCCACTGGTGCCACTTGGGAGTGTGGAAGAACTGCTAGCGGCGTACGACTCGAAACGCGACGAGCTGCCCCCTCCAGTGACTGTATGGGAGTGGGGCTGGACGAAGAGCGCGGAGACCTGGAATGGACGGGCTGCTATGCTGGCCGTGCTGGCTCTCCTAGTGCTGGAGGTGACAACCGGAGAAGGGTTCTTGCACCAGTGGGGCATCCTGCCTTTGTTCCACTGAGCCGATGGCCCTCTTCAGGTCAGCTCTTTTTGAGGTGATCTAATCATAATTTTGATTCATATGGATAATTTCCCGATGCTGTATACGAATGGAAAAAGAAAGAATATTAACTGAATTTGACTACGCACCACATTACCCATGTTGTACATATGAAATATTCTACGGACTCTTAGTACGAAGATTAACAAATTGAACACTGGCAAAACGCCTGGTTTCCCAAGGCAGAGACATGATATTTGTGTTTGGCCATCTGGGTTTAAGAGATGGGATTTTGCTGTTGATTGCGTGGTGGGGGCTGCGGCAGGGTTAATCTTATCATGAAGGCTTTAATCTTATCATGCAAAAGAAGACGGAAAGGAAGACAACAACAGAAGCACCGCGAAGTTAGGCTGTGAACCACTCTGCATGCACGATTACCTGTATCGCAACAATTTCACCTCCTGTGATAGTAAAGGGATTTCTCGGCTGGGCAGTGGGCACTCATACAGTTCACGGTCTATGATATCAAGTACTACTATACTAGACCATTTTCGTCTAAGTAATTTTATCTAGGGGCATAATGACTTACTGCAATTAGTTGTAGCTTAAGGGCCTTTTCTGAGAGCTTCGGACAGCTGTATCTACTAGCTAATTCTAGAATCTTTCAGCTCCTTAAATTGTCTACTCCCTCCGTCTCAATATATTGTAATTAGGATGGGATTAGATCCATTCTAGAACTACGAGTCTTGTTCAGCACTACAACATGTGTGCTCTTTGCCTACACCCATAACCCTCCACCTCCCATCCTTAGTCTTTTTGGCGTGAACCTCCCATTAACATGATTCATGGATGCAGGCCACCATGTATTGGAGTGCTTCACATGGAACAAGCGATGCACACTGATCGAGTAACTCTGCAGTCATATCTGTAAGAGCTCAAGAGAATTAAATTCCAAATCCTTCTTCGGCTCCTCACCCATTGTATCGATGATGCCATTGTATGTTACTCCTCCATCAACAACTGCTAGCTCAGAATTGCTAACATTTTCGAATTGAACAACCTCAGGATTGCGTCCAACTAATTTCTCAAACACCTCCCTTTCTGGCTGAGACATCTTGGCTACTGGACTACCACATACTCATCCTCATATGCTCCTCCTCGGGTGTGTCATCATCCCCCTCTGAATATTGGTCCAACAAATCAACACTCAATCCATTGTTCAACAAAGTCTCCTCACCCTCCGCTCGAGTATATGCTTTTTCTTGAAGCAAGTATCGCACCCCGGATGCTAATTGAGCATATGTTAAAGTCTCTTCTCCACCTCTCCCCATCGATCCATCTCCCTCTTGATTATCATCTTCGACATGATTTCCAATTGTCGGAACTGCCTGACTGCTTGCCTCATGCGCCTTAGTTGCTTCCTCCTTCTGCAACTCCACATTTACCTCCACCCCTTTAGATTCCTGACTCCTTGCCTCATGCGTCTCAGTTGCTTCCTCCTTCTACAACTCCACATTTACCTTCACCCCTTCATACTCATGACTCCTTGCCTCATTCGCCTCAACTGCTTCCATCTTTTGCATCTTCACATCAACCTCCACCCCTTGAGATTCTATGACTTCCTCAACTATCAAAGACCTAACCGACTGACTTTTCACGATTCCATTATCAAATGCTTTGTAGTTTGGTTCATCATAAAATAGTGTGTGGTCGAGGTCTAAAGTATCATCTCTGCAGTCAGTATTGGAAGGCTCAATTAAGCTTAGAGGGAGGGTGAATAGGCTAATTCAAAAATATTTAAGTAAATGCGGAAGCAACACTTTTCGGAAATTCCAACAGTGATTTTCGATAATTCTGAAAATAGCAGAGTAAGCGAAAATAAAATGAAATGCTAGATCTCATAGCAGAGTAAGCAAAGTCCGAATCCTTGAGAGGATTCTACTCTCCATTGAGGAGCTCACAAAGAGCCGGGTCTTCACTAACTCTTTCTTCAAGAGGTTGCACAAAGCACTCATCCTTCCACTAGTGGTATCTCTTCCCTTTCGGAGGTGAGATCCGACCGTCACAAACTTCTCCCGGCCAACCACATGTAGATTGGTGGCTCAAGAGTGGCACCTAGTCGTCTAAGAGTCCTCAACCTCCAAGAGTAATTAATGATGCAAAGAACTCCCGGGAATGATGCAAGTGCTCACAATTTTTCACGAAGTCAACACCAAGCACTCACACAAGCTCGAAACCATAACTCTCTCTCACACACACACCAAATCTGAATCAAACACGGGTGAAGAGGGGTATCAAGCAAGCAAGGCTCAAAAGTGAATCTCAAGAGTAGCAAGGCACGGGCACAGGTTTTCAATGAGAGCAGCAGCTTTGAATTAGGGAGTGAGGAGGCTATTTATAGCCACAGTCTTAGATTTGCCCAATATGTGCAATAATTCCATTTTTCGGAAATTCTGAAAATAAATATCGGACAACTCCGAAAATCTCCAGAACAACAAACACAATGAAGTCAATAGTGATTTTAAGAAATTTTGAAAACTTTTCGGACAAATCCGAAAATATCTAGAACCAAAATAGCCTTCCAAACATTTTCGGAAATTCTGAAAATTACTTTCGGACATGTCCGTAGATATACATAAAGTATTTTGGCTGCGTAGACATTTTCGGAAATTCCAAAAATAGCTTTCGGACAACTCCGAAAATTTTCAGAAGGTTTTTCAACTTCACAACTAGTATTGGAAATTCCGAAAATGAACTTTGGACAAGTCCGAAAATTTACAGAACCAATTTTGGCTTCACGACTATTTTCGGAAATTCCGAAAATTTCTAGAAGCGAAACTCAGTTCTATCTCCTTTCGGAAATTCCGAAAACTCATTTCAGACAACTCCAAAAAATTCCAGAATAGAGGAAATGAGGAGAAACACTTCGAAAAAAAAAAGATTTTTGAGAACCCACGTCATTCCTCATCATCAATGCATCATTCCCCTTAATAGTATGGCATTCCTAATGACGCAAAGAAATTCAAATGTACAATATATCCTTTGCTTATATGCCATATCACGTGAATTTCTCGCTATCATCGGGTTTGGCATTGAAACACAGTGCGGCGAGAACTAACAATCCTCACATATACTCAAACAAAAATGTTAGTCATCTCTAATTGCATTGTTATTAATCACCAAAATCATTAGGGGCCTAGATAAACTTTCAAGTACGATCAAGATTCGAAGCAACCACCTCAAGCGACTTGAATTGTGACCGAGCACTATATCCACATGTTTCCCTCTCCAGCTCCCTATTCAAATCTAGCATGTACTTGTGTGAAATGGGTCCAGCTCCAATAACATAATCTACCTTGCATAGCTATAGATTGATTGCTCCACCCTAGCACATCCTTTGTATGACAAACTAACTCCTCAAAACTAGGTTTTCCACCAAATATAAACTGCTTAACACTCATCCCCTCGAAATGGCTACCACTGTTACTTTGCTCTACCACTGAACCACCATAGTGCAATCACACCAATCTATCCATCTATAACATTAACTGCCATATCAACATTTTGCATTTTTTAAAAACTTGAATTTGCAAAAAAAAAATGATTTTCTTACCTACAAGTCTCTCCAACGATTTTTTCCAATAATATCTAAATACACACAATCTTCCAATTTAAAAGAGTATATGTATTCATTCCTAATGAAAACCCTCATTTTTTGTTTAAAGGAAAAAAAGGTTCTTCCTAATTTTTTGCAAAAAAGAAATTAGGGTTCTACCCTAAATGCCTCAACCCTTTTCCAATAATATCTAAATACACACAATCTTCCAATTTAAAAGAGTATATGTATTCATTCCTAATGAAAACCCTCTTTTTTTTGTTTAAAGGAAAAAAAGGTTCTTCCTAATTTTTTGCAAAAAAGAAATTAGGGTTCTACCCTAAATGGCTCAACCCTAATCATAGTGCTTCATTTTTGGGTTCTATCCACATGTAAGCATTACATCACCAACAACTACTACAACCACAACATAGAGAACCAACTAATTAGAGAAAATTATTCCCAAATCACATTTCTAGGGTTCATCCCGAAATGAGCCAATCCATGCAAAAAGAGGTGAAAAAATGAGAGGATTCAGAGGAGATTACCTTGGCACTATGTCTCCCAACGATTTCCCCTCAAAAACGCAAAGATTTCGTGGATATTTGCTCGGTTTTTGGAGGGGAGGAGAGAGAGGACGACCCGGCGCCGCTGAGCTGAGCCAAAATGGAGGAGGAAGAAAGATGTTGGGGCTGGGGCGACCGGGCGCGGGGCTAATAGTAGCGACCTCAGCACCAAGGCTGTTGGCGCTGAGCTCAGGCACCTCAGCGCCGAGGCGGTTGGCGCTGAGGTTGCCATGTCTGTCGTTAGGGTGCGCCTGGCCGTTAGGACCTCAGCGCCGAGGCGATCAGCACTGAGGTGTTCAATCTCAGCGCCATCAGGTCTGGTGTTGAGCTCGGGGTCCATTTATGTGAGTTTTTAGCAGGGACCTATTTTGAAAAAGTTTTGAAAAAGGGCCAAAATGTGAAATTTTTGGTTCTATAATATATCGTCGACTTTATCAATTGTTCTACAATACGCCATTAGGCTATGCATTCTTTTTAAAAATAACCAAAATACCCTTATGGACATATAAGGTTAACAATTGATTTATCTAATTTGAAGTTTAAAAAAAAATGAAAACTTTTACGTGACCTACTTACACAACACACAACATGGAAATTTGTATATAGGTTTCAAGCTTTTTACATTTCTATTTTTTAAAAAATATAACTTATCTGTTATATGCTATATAATTTTTTATTGTTTTTTAATAAAAAATATAACTTATGTGTTATATGCTATATAATTTCTTTTTTTATTGTTTTTAATATAAATCATCTTTCATACACTACATAAGATATTTTTTTGTGCTATTATGTCTTGTATAAGCAAATTCTCTCTCATATACCACATAAAAATATTTTTTCTAAAAACTAAATATACCAGAAGAAACTTGAAACTTGTATACAAACTTCCATGTTGTGTAAGGAGGCCACATAAAAATTTTCATATTTTTTTTTGAAACTTCTGATGAGATAAATCAATTGTTAATCTTGTATGTCTCTAAGCATATTTTCAGTATTTTTGAAACGAAGGTCCAACCCAATTACGTATTGTAAAACAATTGATAAAGTCGCCGGTATATATATTATAAAAAGAGATAATGTCGATGGCAAATCGTTGAACTCAAACAAACTCAGTGGTATAGAATAAATTCTCTCTTTTATCTAGGGCTACAATGGCTTGCTGCAATTCATTGTTTGAGGGGCTTACGTGGCACATGGGGGCACAGCTCTACCCTAAATGTTTTTTGCAAAAAAGATAACTATATATAGGTATATTAGCCATATGTATATAAATAGTTAAGTCAAAATGACATATACAAGCCTTTCAAAATAACTATCCAATAATCCTACTTGATGCCCCATTAGCCCACAGCCAATCTCCCAACCCGGAAATGCTAATGGGTGATTGATCGCCTGGCGATGGGGGTAGCGATCAATTCGCCCCCCCTCCCTATCCCTCCACCTGGTTTCCTTTTTTTTGGCACCGCATTACTTTCCTATTTTAGTAAATTTATGCACCTAAAGTTTATACACCTCAATTT